TAGGAGCCCGTCCCTGCCCGCTGCCCCACAGCCCCCCACCGCGGGAAGTCGCTCCCCTTGGTTCCTACTACCGGGCTCCCCACAGCTGGCAGCCTCTCTCCTCGGCCCCACAGACCCCCACTTCTGGCAGTCCCTCCCCTCGGTCCCATAACACCCCACAGCTGGCAGTCCCTCCCTTGGCCCCCCAACACCCCATGGCTGGCAGTCCCTCCCCTCAGCCCCCCGGGCCCCACAGCTGGCAATGCTTCCCCTCGGCTCCACAGACCCCCCACAGCTGTCAGTCCCTCTCCTCTAGCCCCAGCCTAATCCTGCCTGCAGGGGCAGGGGCAGGTCAAGCCCCAGGTGGTGGGGATGCAGCTTGGCAGCATCTTTGAAAAATCTTAGCTTTTATCCCTGCAAAATCTGAGCTTCTGTTAGACAAAGAGATTGTTTTTCACCCCACACCTGCAGAAATGTCACGTGGCAGCACAGTAACAAAAGGACATCTCTCACTTGGGTGTCACAGGCACCCAGCAGCAGGAGCCATCACCTCCCTCCTACCTGGTCTGCAAGGCCCAGAATCCTACCAGGATCCAAAGACAAAAGTCAGGGACAAATGCAGCCCTAGTCTCTGTGTATTTTGAACACCTTCATAATCTACCTACTGGCAGTCCTGAGTTTGCTGCCTCAGGCAAACAGATGATGGTTAGTAGATACAGTGTGAAAAATACACAGCTTTCTTCCATCCTTCTCCCCAGCAGTGTGCCATACCCATAACTGGCATCTGCTTCATTTTCTAGGACGACACAGGGAAGAGTCCAATATTTTAACAGACAGAGACCCTGGTCCCAAGGCCCCTACCTTAATCTGTCCATTCTCTTTGCGGGAAAGAGTCCACTTCATGCCACAAGCTGGTTCAGCATCAAACACATTTATTTCACTTTTATTGAATACAAGAACAGTGAGCACACACGCATACACCACCAAGCACTGAAAAGGAATATGACTGAAGGCAGGAGGGAGAAGAAGAACAAGGGAAGAGAAAAGGAGAGTTAGTGAAGGAACAACAGAGCATTGCAGTTGGTTGGTAAGGTGCTTTTCAAATAAAAATAAATATTATTATTGTTATTGTCATTATTACTCATGCAGTTGCAGGCCAGGTTTGGAATGAATTTGTAGGATCAGGTAAAAACAGGCACTCAGTTCTCCCACCCCTTTCAACACAAAGGCCCTTGGAAGAAAACAAATGGTGATTAGCTCTCTGAAATGGCAGTAATGTGAAGGGCAGGCTGGGAGAGAGCCAGGCCCATAAGGGATGTTAGTCACTACTAAACAGCAGAATCCCACACTTTCCCAGATGAACAAGAAACAAACTTTTTTCTTTTTTTTTTATTTTTAAATGTTGTCACCCATTAAACAAGCTGTGGAAGCAAGGAAACTGGATCCACTTACTGGGTTTTTTTTCTTAACTCTAAATGTAAATAGTTTGAGTCTAATTTCACATCAATTCTATAATTGTCTAAGGCTACTAATGTTAACAGTTACCTTAGATTTTATAACCACATGTGTGATTTCAAAACCAGGTATCCAGTTTCAAAGTAGCCTGTAGTTCAGTTGTAACAGTACCAAATCCACAGAGAGCCTCCTTTGGATTTGAAATACAAAGCGTGCTGAAAAACAACCAACGTGATGTGTGGACCATTGCTAATGGGCAAGATGGGCTGAATGCCCTGTACAGGCACTGAGAACAGGTCCTCTCTCAATTGGTATCTCTTTCAGAAAGTGTGACTGCTTTTTGCAGCTGTTTTGGGTGTATTTAAAAATAAAAGAGAAAAAACGCAATTCTCTCTACAATTGCCTTAACTCTTTCTGGTTTGGGGTCTGGTCTCTAAAAGCAGCAAGTTACAAGCAACTGAAAGCACTCAGGCAGAATCTGGGGGGAGACTACATGACTGAACTCATTAGAAACCTGAAATGATCTTCATTGGCATTAGCCAGCACGTCTATTCACTTCTGAAGAAGCCTGTCTTTAATGCTTGTAGAAGAATCTTATATGCCATAAGGAGAACAGACTTCATGGGGACATAATAGCAAGTAACTGGCAGACCAAGACTGCCAGAGACCAGGCTCTCTCCTAAGGAAACTCAGTGAGCGAAGTATACCCCCATAATGGCTTAAATTCTTCTTGTTTAGTATTATCCTCAGATCCATTGCTGGAACTGATAAAATGCACCTATTCTGGGCACAGTCTGCGTGAGGCGTGGAGGACTAAAGGCAAAATGGTGCAGAATTGTGGGCCCTTCTGCTTCTGCAGGAGGTAGGGATAATTCCAAAAAGGAAACCCATTTATTTCTTTTCCTTCCTGATTTTGGTTCCAAGTCCACCCTAACTGCCTGGTTCACAGTGTACAAGGCCCTGGCCTTGGCCCATAATCCCCTTCTAAAGGCAGCCACAGAGGAAGCCTGTTGCTAAAGGCCGAGCTGTGATGAGTTGTGGGAAAGGCAGCTGCACTGACATCTCCTCAACATGGGCCATCTTATGTGGAGGGCCTGGACTCTGCCATCCAGGCTTGTACACTCAGGGCACTCGTGCAGTGATGGAGACAATGTGGTCTCTCCACTGCCTGTCCCTCAGTAGCACCTGGAGGCAAGGATGGAGGAAGGACTGGCATCACTCCTGCCATCACCATCATGTAGCACACAGTGCCCTGGGCAGCCCTCACCATTGCACCTGGCCTGCGGGGGAAGCAGGGAAAAAATGACTCCTCTTTGCCTCTAACCCTTCCTACTACAAAGCTTCTGTAACTTCATTACTGGGGTCCAGAAACAAACCAAAACAACCCCAACAATCATCATGGCTCAGTGGGCTGGAGAGGAGCTAAGACCATGCTGCCAGCTTGATCCCAGCTGAGACTCCGGTGTCTTTGGATTGGGGCCAGGTGACATTCCTGCCTAGCACCTGGGCCACAGGAACGGCAGCCTGACCCTCCTTCCTTGCCCCTCCAACTTGCCGTTGACCAACCAATTCCACACACCACATATACCACGGCACCAAAAACAGCCCTCCTGCGGCCACACGGATCAGCCAGTGGGATGTGTCTCATCTTTCTCCCTCTGCCCTTCCCCTCCAAAACAGAAGAGGCTCAAACCATCCCTATTCTCTTCTTGCGGGGCTAAGAGTCCCAAGCATGATCTAAGAGTCTCAAAATACATCAACCACAGTCAATCAAATAGTTAATAATTTAAAAATGTTGTCATCATATTTACCAGCACTGTTGAATTATTTTAATATTGTTCCCCCCTCCCCCCTTGTTATATATAATAATATACATAACTTAAATGCACATCCATATGAAACCCCTACAGGCTGCAATTTTATAAATGAGAAACCATATACATATAATTTGCTTTGTTTGAAATGAAATCCATTCCTAAATACTTTCAGAGAACAAGAGCTTGGACAAATGCACAGAGAAGAAGATAAGGAACAGAAGGGGAAGAATTAACAGAACCTCAAAAATGCAAAAGAACGAGCACGGAATGAGGAAAAGAGTGTAACCACACGTTCCAAATCGGAAAATAACTCTAAAGTAATCAACTCAATGGTTTCTCTCTTCTTTCCAGAGGTGGGGAATGGTTTTGCTTCTGCTTGTGGTTTTTGTTTCATTTTGCTTATTTCTTGCTTTGTTGCAAAGCAGTTTTCCTTTCCATTCAGTGTGCAACAAATGAACTCAAGATTGTGTATCCTTTTATGTAACATGCAAGATGGTGGCTTATTTTACTGTTAACAATATTATTGTTATTATAATGATTTTTTAATTTTATTTTATCACCAATCCAGTAAATTCTTCAATTTATCTGCAAAGATGGTCGGTTTTGTTTGTTGTTGATGTTGCTGTTTGTAATTCATTTCCAGCATATAGCAGCAGTGCAAGGATACATTTTGTTTCTCCTTTTCTATATATATATATATATATATATGTGTGTGTGTGTGTGTGTGTGTGTGTGTGTGTGTGTGTGTGTGTGTGTTGATGTGTATATATATATATAATATATTTGCTATTCCTTTTTTAAAATTTTTGTCTCTTGCCATGAACATTGCAGCCAGGATGTCTATGTCTTGCTGGCAAATCCAGCATGAAGGATCCTTCTTCACTATTCTCCAGGTTTGAATACAGATGCCAACTTCTGTGAACATGGTGGTCAAGATTCCTGTACAAGGCAGATGGAAAGGACTGGTCATGGAGTGCTTCCTTTCTTGCTTCTTGGGCTCTAAAAGGGCTCCTGTTTGTATGAGGGCACTGGACAATAAAACTGCAAACACTTTCGGGCTACTAATCAACTTTGCCCTTGATTACCACGACCTCTGGTAATTATAAAAACCTCTTGAATTCGTTGAGCTGGTGCTGGTGTATGGGAAAGGAATCAGTGAATCACTGCTGAAGTCTCCCTTATGTTTAGCCATTAAATCAAAACTGGTTGGCTTCCTAAAAGATGCAGAAATAACTGGGCTTGGTTGTTTGTAACTGTTATGAAGGAGATGAGATTAGACAGATGCAACAGTCTCCTCTGACCTTCCAATCTACAACAGAGGTGATCATCTTTTCCAAGCTTAAAAGTTGCATGTCAAAATCTTCATAGGATCAAGAAACACATAATCACATTTCCAAGAGGCATCTGGAGTCTGGCTAGGGACATAGCTCCTTCTACATTTTTCAGTAGTGAAGCTGGCTTCAGAAGCTCCCCTTCTCCTTTCTGTCATGCTTCTCTGCCCCTCAGTTGCTCTGATAAAAAAGTCTGTTGGGCTGTGACATTGCCCTACATAAAACCAGTGCTATGAGAGAGCTGCACCAATCCAGCTGAGGGGAGTAGCACGGAGCAGCATGAAGTAAGAATAAGTGGTTAAGAGTAGGGGCAGGCCTCCTCAAGCCAGCTTTGCCCTGGAGAAAAATGGGTGTGAAAATGTGCCTGCTTTGGGGCATCTGCTGGGAGATGCAAACCTTGTGTGCTGGTACGCACAGCTGCATGTTTATAAAGGGACAGCCTGGGGAACCTGAATGGCCATTAGAAAAATCATTTTGGCAAATACTTGTCTAATATGTGGAATTGGCCTTGCAGTACCAGTAACCAAGTTTCTCAGGCTATCCACAACACAGACATCACCTCTGTCATTCCCTACCCTGGAGGAATGAGAAGGTCCTTCCTCCTTTACATGCAAATGATTCTGACTCCTCTACTGAGCAGGGCAACAAGGTGACAACTAGAGCACTGCTTTTGATGGCATGTCCACCAGCTTTCTAACCACAACTAGGTGGCCACACCTGGGGGGTCGCCATCATAGTGGGCTGGACTGGAATTGCTGGTGCAAGAGATGCTACTCCTAGTGCCCTGGAGCAGCCCTTCCTATCAGCACCTACAGCTGGTAGAGTTAGTCCCAAAAATTAATTGTGGCCAATTGCAGAAATGTGCCTCAGCGTGTTAAAGCAGAGAGGCGAATAAAGCCCATGCACTGAGAAAATAAATTCTTTCTTTTTACTCCACAGAGGGTTCCCTGGAAGGAAATCTGAACTTATTTGGGAGGACAATAAAGCCAGTACAGAAACACAGGGAGTAGAAATTGGGTCATACAGTATAGCATGGGAAGAGGCAGAAACAGTGCTTACAGAACTGCTTTGCCCATTCCCAGGTACCTGTCCTTCAGGGCCCACCAGCAGACACATCCCTCAAGCTACTGTAGTGGGATGCTATGCTGAAGCCTGCTGTAGCTGGGACATGAGGGATGCTCTGCCTGTGCAGTCACCTAACTGTCATATTGAGGACTGTGCTGGTGTCCAAGAACTTCTGCAAAGAACTCCACTGAGCTGTTTCACAACATAGGGCATAAGGGATACACAGAGGTACTTGTACAGCTACATACATCTCTTGTACAGCATGTATAAATCATACCTGGTAATTTCTCTACCTACCTGAGGTTTCTTGTCCCTCTCCTCTGGAGAAGGTTCTGTTTCTCTGTATACCACAGCTTTGGTTACCAGCATGTCGGGATGCTGTAGTTTTGCCTCTTTGATTGCTAAAGCCAGTGCCTAGAAAGCAGAATGATGAAAGTGTTTATCTTCACTTCCCTGAAATCTGATATGAACATTGCCAGAAAGAATCAGTATATAGAAAATATCTGCAGCTGAATAGGATTCCAGAAGAATGTGAATGCATAGGTTCAGGTTTGATGGCCTGGAAGAAAAGTCTGGAGCCTACTACTGACTGGGGGGTTGTAAAAAAGCATTGGGATGCCTTGTGTATTGCTCTTCGATTACTCGTTTGTAGGCAGAGATGCACAGTGTTCCAGGCTCACTAATGAATCCCAAGCAAAGGAACATCATCAGTTCTCTCTGCCAAAAAACTCTATAAAAAATCTAAAATATTATTCTAATTAAATTTATTATTCTGAATAATTCTAAAAAGTCTATAAATTATTTTAGATCCTGCGCAAGATAGCTTTTTAAATACTTTGGACCTTTAACAAAATGGTAAAGCAAAAAATCCCAAAAGATGAGGTCACAAGAAAATGAGCCTGCAACCCCAGAGATTTGTGTCAATCTGTTATTTCATCATAAAAAGTTGTCACTTTTTGTTCCTTCTCTTAAGGAGGTAAATGCACAACTATTTGGTCTGAGTCAACCTGTAGTGAGGCTCTGCAGGAAAGAAAGGGAGAATCCTGGGCCACTCCAGAGCATTTCAACAGAGAAATGGCAACTGGAAACTTATGTAAAAAAGAAAAAGGCGATCCCATAGTTGGTCTCTATGCTGGAACGTAATCCTCACTGCTGACTCATTCATTCCTTCAGTGGGTGGGAGTTGAGCTGGAAGTTCTTGTTCAGTATAAATCAAATGATCCAGGTCTTTCACAGGCCAAATGAGTGATGATTCCTGTCACTTCCTCCAAGATGGAGACAGGGTTTGCTGTCTGGCAAAACCCTGTCTGAGAACTGGACTGGCACCCTCTTTCCCAGCCTGGAAAAGCCAGTAGGCTTGGGGATGTGAGAGACTGGTTTTCAGAGTGAAGGAGCAAAGAACTGGGAACACTCAGTGATGCAATCAGGGAGCAGCTACAATTCAACAAAGCCACAGCATTCTGCTCCTACCTGATCTTGGTCCACATCTTCATCTCCTGTGATAATGATGCGCTTCTCTATCCTGGTCTCTGAAAACCCTCCTTTCACAGTCTGCAATACAAAAAGGAACAGAACTCATTTCCAGCCTGTAGTCCTCCTTACTGGCAGCAGCATCCTGCCACTTACCATGGCAAAGGCAGGGGATCACACCAGCCCTACAGGCTGCAGGCTTCTGGGGCAAACAACTAATGCAGAGCTTTAAAACCCTATATGGTTCATGTCCTAAATATGCTGCAGTAAACATGGGATGCCTGCCCTCTCTCAGAGCCTTGCCTACAGTGACGTTAGCCACAGGAATGCACATTGGATGCACACTGAGAAGCGAACCATAAGGCTGAGGATGGCTGTAGCACAGGCTTTAGGACTGGGGATAACAGCTTGTGGCCGTGTGGTCACAAGATGGATAATAAAAAGGTTTCGAATCCAAGAGTCAATGTGCTGTCTCTACTTGTGTGTAAGGGGGATTTGTTAGAGAGCACCCCAAAAAACAAAAGGAACTCTAGCCACCAGAGGAAGGACAATCCCAATATCACCTCAGAAACTCCCACCATAATTTAGCACATATAGTTTTAGTCAGTCTACAGCAAGAGAGGACACAGCTAATCATGGGTGTGAGTGAGCATGGATGGGAGTAACAGCGCACAAGAGAAGAGTGAAAAAAGGGCCAGGCTGCAGGTACTGAGCACCAGTCTTGCCCACCTAGGTCGCTCATTGGGCTTCAGCTTTCATTTATGTGCACTTAATTTGGGAATGAGATGGCCAATGGTGAGGTTCTCTGGTGCAGCTCTCCCTTAATTTCCTGACATCTCTTCCCCCTGTCCACAGTACACCAAACACAAACACCACAGCAGAGAGGAAATGGAGTGCTGCAGGAAAGGAGGATCTGGCTCTAAACTGGATACTCACACCAGCTGCATGGACATGGACTTTCACATGCACTGGTAGCAGCCTAACACAAAGTCACTTCCATCCTTGCAACTGGCTTCAGGGTGCACAGAGGTCAGCTGTGCTGAAATCTGTTCTTCTGCCTCAACCCAATGACCCCCTTGCCTCCTGATTTACCAGCACCTACAGCTGGATGTGGCTGGCAATCACAGTCCATATGGGTAATGGTGACAAACAGCCAATGCCTGTCAAACACATTTTCCTGGGGCTTTTGGAGAGCAGTGCAGGGAATGGCGCTGGCTGATGATCCTCCACAGGACAGCACACACTTTTTCAGCTCATAAGGAGAACAGTAGCATTTTTTTCTATCTTCTCCAAATTCCAGAGGCATCTTTCATCAGAAACCCACTGGGCTTCCATGTTTTAGAGGTTCTTACCTTGGTAACATGAGTAGTGGTAGAAGTGGAGAGGGTTTCTGCGGTAGCACTGAATATGCTGGTGAGCACCTCCTTCCCAGTGGAGCTGCCAGTGATCTACAGGACAGAGAGCATCTGTGTCAGCAGGCACCTCTGCAGGGGAAGACACTAGTTCTGGCTCCAGGGGTGACTTCCAAAGATTTGGGACATCAAGTTTTCAACACTTGTTGCTGACATGAGCATCTTCCCCCATCTTATTCCTTCTACCTGATAGAGCCATGAATAAGAGCTGGGTTCATTCACCTACTGCAGCCTCTGTCCTCCTCAGACACCTTTCATGGGAGCAGAACATCAATGGGGACTTGATTCTCCCTTTTTATAGGAGGCTGAGAGCCAGGCCTAGCGAAGGAATAGAAGTACAAAAGGGATACACTACATGAGGGCTAGTCCTGCACCTCCCAACAAGACAAAGCCACTGAGCCAAGTGTAAAACTGGCTTACAGAAGCTAGACCGTGGCAAGAGAAAAGACACGTTGCACTGTTCCAACTGGACATGGGTTTTTGGGGCAGAGATTGGGGGGCAGGGAGGGCAGAGGTTTCCGTAACTAGCTTACGCCCAGAGAGTTGCATAAAAGGCTCTCTCCAGCAGGGAGATGATTTCATTGCTGCATTTGATTCCTCCACTTTCACCCTCAAGGCCACACTTTCTGCAGAGCTCTCAGGTTAACTCCACCCACAAATGCAGCACTTTTGTCTGTCTTGCTTTGTGTGGAGACGGCTGGGAAACCTTGGTGGTTCCTCAGCCACATCCACTGCCAAGCACTGCCTCACTGGGGCTCCAGGTCTACTAAGTGACCAGCGTGGGGCAGGACAAGGCATTTGACCAGGTTTGACTGCACCTAGAAGAGATAATTAAGTAGAAAAGAACTTTATAAAGAAAGGCCTGATCTGAGGACCCTGTCCTACACTAGGCAAGATTGTTGATGTCTGTCATCTCCTCTGAAGGAGTTAAGAGTTTGTGACTACTACTGTGAGATAGGAGGCCTTGGGTACACAAATTCAGAACTTGAGGCAGCCAGACAGGAATTCCAGGGCTAAGGACAACTCAGCCTGCTTAAGACCTCACCAGGGACTGTCTATTTTTCAGGATCTTTTCTCCTCCAGTTGATGCTCAAGGTGTGTGTCTGGCTCAGGAGAGAGGCCAAAGGCATGGGGTTCGTGGCCTTCTTGCTTCCCAAACTTTTCCTCAGGCACCAATGCATCCTTCCACTCTTGCCCAGTACCACATCAGCCAAGGGTGCTGGTGCTGGGAATGTAGGATGAGTGTGCCTCCTGGGTAGCTGACAGCAACTGGCCAAGGTAGCCTAAACCCAGCTCAGGCTGCCAATCCCCAGCTCTAGTGTTCAGAAGCCAGGCTGCCTTCCTCTGGGCCTCTTCCCTGCATTAAGCCTCGGGCAGTGATACCATGTCCTCCACTCACCGGTGACACAGAGCGAAGGTCTGTTGTGGGTCCTGCCCCTTTCCCAGGCTTGGTGCTATGATCCTGAAAGAAGAGCACAGGGGAGCATTGGCATGGATGCAGGGTAAGGGCAAACACAGCTTGCTCTGGAAGAGCAGCACTGAAACACAGTGGATTTCCCTCAGCCTCTGGAGAATTAACAGCAGGACTGAGGTCTTCCTCCTCCCATCTGCTCCAGCATCACAGCCTGCTCTAGCCTCCCTCACCCAGCCCTGAGGACACAACCAAAGCAGAGGAACTGAATGGGACACTAGCACCCTCAGCACCCTGAGGAGTCAGCCTTGCTTACTGAGGTTGTTGATATGGTCTCTGTGGTGACAGTGTGGGAAGTGGCTATTGCATCTTTGCTGCCTGGGGTGCCTCCCTCCACCTGCCAAAGGCAAAAGAAAGCTGGTGAGTTTGGAGGTACCTATGAGGGAGCTACACCAGCAGAACTGGGTGCTTCATTTCCCTTGCTGCCAAGGCACATGGCTTGGGAAGCTGTGGGATGGCCACAGCACCATGCAGCTCATTAGTGAGTGTCACCCTCTGGAGACATTCCTGCACACCAGTGCTGCCCAGCAGCATGGGAGATGAGGTGAGGGAAGCACGCGTAGGGGATAGGTTCATGGCGTACTCACATGGAAAAGTAAATGTAGAATGCAGGCAGGCTTTGATTTGATGTTTTGGGGACTACAGCAAGACCAAGACAAGCAGAGAGATCCGATGGCCTCGCTCAACCATCTGCCCTCACAGTGTTGCTGTTTGAGGGCAGGTTTTGATGGACTGAGGCTCTGCAGAGCCACCAGGGAACAGGACAACAAAAGGATGGACCCAGCTCTGCTCCCTGGCCTCCAGAGCCAGCCTCATGCAGGACAAGGTGCCACATCACCTGGGTTGCTTCTGCGGCACTTACCCTGTGGGGAGCAGAGGCTTCCGCTTCAGGCTTCTTCATGCCCGACACCAGACCAACAGTCGCGGCATCTGTTTTCAGCACTGCCAACTGCAGAAGAAACACAGCAAGTCAGCAACTGCATCAGACTACTCTAATCCCAGGGCTCAATTAGAAACAGCACTGCCTCGTCGGATACGTCTAACTCCTCCTCTTGCACTAGCCCATACCTGACTAATGCTTCCCTGTTCTCTTGCAAATGCCATATCCTACTGATAGCCCTGTGGGCACAAGGCAGGATTTTGGAGAAACTGTAGAGCTCTACCAAGAACATACAGCAGAGGCCAGGCTGTTACCAGAGGGCAGACAGCTACCATGCAAACTGCCCCAAATGACTGACATACCCCAAATCTGACTGGATGCTGTCACCAATTTTTTTTTTTTCCCCATAGATTTACAAACTCAATGGGTTAGGGCAAACTGGTCCTCTAGTGTTGGATGAGACCCACCAAGCTCATTTCACTTGTGACCTGACACAGGTTTGTGAATCTACATTAGTTCCAGACAGTTGTGATTACACCCTTGGTGACAGATGGAGACTAACTTGTAGGAATGGAGACAGGTTCTCAGCACTTCTCTGCTATGGGGACCTGAAGCCGCCTAGAGATCCTGCCAGAGCATGGTTACTCAGGCCTGATTCAGCCCTCAGTGAGTCTCCCACACTTCTCGGCCAACGACCACCCCTGCCTAGTGCATGGTCACAGACCTGCAGTATCTCACTAACCCTGGCATAGCAGCCTATGTCATAGGACATGCTCCACACAGGGGTTTCAGGTTAAATACCACACAGGCTGTCTTGGAGAAAATGCATTTTATTCTTTTGCTTTTTCCTGGCTCTGGGTCTGGACTCATCCTGCCACCTGCTCATCAAGGAGCAGAGGAGGGACTTACCTGCCAGTAAGGGCTCACAGTCTGCACTGCAGAGCAGCCACCTGGAGCACACGGCCCAGCAGAGGGGGAAGATCTCCAGGAGGCTACTCTAGGGGCTGGGTGCTAGCACAGTGGATGCCACAGCCCAGACCTGGCAGGACAGGAGATAGCCCTGGCCCAGCGCAGAGGCAATGTTGTTACATTTAATGCGAGATGAGTCTGGCTCTACTGTCATTTCTCAGTGGTATACACTCAACTTCCACTTATACAGACATGCCACATGCAGTTTCCTTAGCCCAATTATAAGCGCTCCCCTAACAGGGACCCTCCCAGACCTTCGAGGCTGTTCCCACCAGCTGTTCCATAAATGTCTTCCACCTCCTGTACAACCAGAGAGAGGTTAGTTGGCAGTACATTTCTCTTTACTATGCAAGCTATTCATTGACTTCATGCAAAACACAAGGACAGTCGTTGGTTAGAGAAACATGCCCTTCCCAGCTGCCAGCATGCTATCATGGTGCAAAGGACAGGGTAGGAGGCCAAATACAGTGGATTAAGAGAAGAAGGTGACTTCTTCTGGTTAGCAGATGCACAGAACACAAACAACAGAGCCATGCACCTGCCCAAATCGAAATAACCATGCAACAAAGATGATAGCTTGTGTTAGGGTAAAACAGTTACACCAGATAGGAACACGGAATTGTTTGAAAGCTAGCATGCGCTTCCAAACAGACGAAGGACTACATGCCAATGCAGCAACGCTGCGAGACAAAGAACACCAAGAGATGATGGTACTGAGACAGTCTTGGTGGGTGGCTTCTATTTGTACCTCTAGCTGGGATACTTCTGGGCTAGGCTGGGAGACCTTCTCCCCCGCTTTGACATCCTCTTCAAGTCCAGGAGCTACTTTTTCAGTATCCTGGGAGGAAGCCAGGCCTTCATCTTCTGTCTCACTCTTGTCTTTGTCCAGCTCGGGCAGACTTCGGGAGATGTCCTCAAAGGCTGTCCCATGAAAGTCACCAATTACCGTGAAGTCCACTTCTGCTTCCAGGCTGGATGTTGAACTAACCGTGATGCTGGAGCACTTGCGCTCGATGGCCAGGTGGTTGTCCTTCAGAAAGACTGAGTCCTTCTCCTGGTCCTGCTCCTCATCCCCGGTGTCGCTCTCAGGAGCCCTGTGCCGAGGTGGTTTAGCTTTCTCCTCGGCACCCTCCCTTAAGCCTGCTCTCTGAATAAGACACAAGGGCGGAGAGAGACTGAGACTGTGAGCATCAAGTGGCACAACAGAGCTGGCTATGCCAATGGGGGGAAGAGGGGGAGGAGGAAGAAAAAGAAGGCTGCAGCAAACATCACAGAGTAAAGTCAAACACAACTCAAGCATGGAAACTGAAACCTTTTTGACAGCAGCAACTTTGCGGGGCGGGGGGAGTTATCCAATTTGATTTTGCCAAAAGCCTACTGGTAATTCATCATATGAGAAAAAGGGTCAGTCCCACAGAAATGCTTGGCCAGCCTGGAGGCACGTCAGTGCCCCTGGTGAAAGCAGATGTGTGCAAAACGACAGGTCTTTTAAGAGACATTCAGGAACTGCTCGGATGCCAATGCTATCACGTGTCAGTAAAGTTGGACACCAAAAGAAACAAAGGGAAAGAAAGAGAAAAGAGTCTGAACAAAAGAAAAGGTCCCCATCAGCCACATATGTTCAAGGAGAAGCAAAGGAGCTTGCCAATTTCACTGAGCTTGCCCCAAAAGGAGTATCTGCCTCATGTCCTGGCAGAGCATCACTCCAGTCTTCATGTGGGAGGGAAGGAGGGCCCGGCACTCACCTGCAGCCCACCGCGAGCACACCACGGTAGCTGCCTGCACTAGGACAGTGGTGCTAAATCAGCCCCACTGACACAACACTCCCGCTCCAAAGGCCTCACAACTAGGGATGACACCAAAAGATTGACCAATTTTATGTTTAATCAGTGTAATTGACAGAGAGTCAAGGGACAGCCTCCCTCCATTAGCTCCTCTCCAAACATGGACATACCTCTCAACTCTGCCATCAGAGGGTAAACTTCCTCTTCTCACTCTCTGCCAAGAAGCAATGGGAAACCTGTATCCACGCTTCTGCTTTATTTTGCATCTCACTCAATGCACTTCTCCCTCAGGATTTGCTCTAAGCCCACTGATGCCATAGGGAACCCTCCTCTTGGACTCCGGGCAAAGCATTTGCAACCAGAGCCAGCCCTCCAATCAGCCAGGCTCTGCCAGCATGGGTACCCTCTGTTTGCACTACTGGGAGGTTGAGAGGTATGAGAAACGGTGTCAAACAAACTCCAGAGGAACACACCCACATACACGTATGTGTGTGTATATACATAAATATATACATAACAGCTCTGCAAAGGGGAGAGGAGTTGGAAGCATACAGTCCTCGGCTGATTAAGGTGAGCTTTCATACTATGGTAAGAAGCAGTTAATAAAACAGCACTGAGACCTGGAAGACCACTGGAATAGCAGTCTTTAAATTGTCTTCTTTCAGGCTGGATTTTACTGATGGGTCAGATAAATCCTTTTCTTCCCCACTTGGTTCCTGAGTTTTGCTCTGGATTAGAGAAAAGGGTTAGTTTTAAAGAAGTGAACTCTACAGGAGCTGATCTAGCGCTTACAAGAGCAGAAGAAAGCTATTTCATCATCCAGCCACCAGCTTGCCGAAGACAGGGGAGGATGGGTGAGGCTAGAGAGCCAAGCAAGAAGGGATATCAACGTAAGAAATGCAAGGGTGAAGCTGGAAGCATGGGCACGCTGCTGATAGGTGCGTGTGCGTGTCTAGTGCCCCCCCCCCCCCCCCCATCCCATAGCCCTTTCTTGCTCCTGGACACAAAGCTTGGGTGCCCATTTTCAGGTTAGCAGCTGGCATTCTCCAGGTAGCCAAACTGTTGGGGTTCACAAAACAAAAGCTTATGAACCAATTGGCCAGCAGATCTGCCTTTAGCAAATAAGCCCGACTACACACACATACATAAAAAGACAGGGGATGCAAAGCGACGGGTCTCAGTTAATGGATGTGTGAAGTGCCATTGAATATGATAATAAAGAGCCACACAACATGCGTATGAACTTTCCATCTGGACAGTTCATTGGAAGAGTTACCACGGCTTCTGCCAGTGTGAGTTCGCAGCCAGAGTCAGGGGAAGCAAGGTCAGCATCATCTTCTCCTTCGTGCTCCAAATTAACAGAAACATCTTCCTTCAGAGGCAGAGGCTGGGATGAGTTTCCTGAACCAACCCCTTGCCTGAGGGCTAAGGAGCTCACACTGGACATGGTTTCCACAGGAATGGCTGACACCGTGGAAGATGAGATGAGGCCTGTGTCCAAAAGTGTATCTTGTGCCAGATCCATCTTCCCCCTTTTTTTCACTGCTGTCTCAATTTCAGGCATGCACTGTTGTCCCTCCTGCACTGTCCTTTGCTCAGCTTCACCTTGCTCAAACATCTTAATCTTAGAAGCCACTGAGGCTTTCTCATGCATCTCGCCAGCCTGCCAGACCCCTGGAAACGGGGCTGAAGCCAGTGTCACAGTGATATCTTCATGCTCTTGGGATGTAGCTTCTGTCCTCTCAGCAATGGACATCAGTAGCCCAGACTTTGTTTTCTGTATCCCATTGCTAGCTTGCAGCTTTACCCTGCCTTCATACCTAAAGGTAAAAGGTTGGTACAGCTTGCTTCCTTGACATGATCCTACTACATGGGAGTGGGAATGCAGGACATGACCATCTTCTTCAGGAGGAGACTTATCCTGCAGGGGCTGCTCTGGAGCATGGCCCTTGTCCTTGGTGGTTTCTTGTACCATAGAGCTCCTGTCCTGCAGAGCCTGTCTCACATTAAACTCCAAGTCCCAGTGAGGCTCTCGTGCCTTGGGGGCTGCAGTGTGGAGCAGCCCTCCAGCTTCAGTACCCTTTTGAGGCAGGTCTCCTATTATGGCTCCAGTTTGTAGTTCCATTTCTTCTGTCCTGGGAGGCAGCTCTTCCATGCTAGGAGTTTTGTCATGAGACAATTCTTCCATCCCATAGCCTTCATCTTGGGACAAATGTCCTGACATGGACCCTATTTCTTTGGACAGCTCTTTTATCATGCGCTTTTTCTCCTGGAGTGGCTCTTCTGTGGCAGGGATTTTGCTACGGGCTGCCCTCCCTGCGGCAAGGTCCATGTCTTGAACTGCCTCCCCTGGGGCTGGATCTCTGACCTGGGAGAGCTCCACTGCAGCAACAGCTGTGTTTTGGAGTGGTTGTCCCACAACAGGACTTGTATCTTGGTGCGTTTCCCCTGTAGCAAAGCCCATGTCTTGGAGTTGTTCAGATTCAGGGCTCATGACCTTGGGTATTTCCACCTCCGTTACAGGGCTCATATCCTTGAGCGCTTCTTTACCTCCTATGGGGCTTGCATCCTTGAGTGTCACCTCTGTTGTGGGGATCACATTCGTGAGTATTTCCACATCTGTTAAAGAGCTGGTGCCTTGGGACAGCTCTTTGCCCTTGGGCTGCATGTCCTGGGCTGGCCCTGCATCCTGGGCTAGCTCTGCAGAGACAGAGCCTGATTGCTGAGGTAAGGGATTAGGGGTGGGCACATTGAGTTTATCCTTCTCTGACCCTTCTGAGGCACCAGGATGGCCTTGCTGAGGCACAGCTGAAGGGGGTGGTTTAGTCTCTATCTCTTCCATCTGAAGAACCACTCTGGAGCTTTCCTCCTCTTCTCTCCCTGCAATGATCCTTCCCAACACCTCCCACTCTGCCGTGGAGCTGTCTGTGCCCTGCTGGTCTCCCATAGCCAGTCTCAGTGCTGGGCTCTCCACCTTGCCCTGCTGCTGCATATCCTCAGCTCCTCTGCCTTCAGCTGCTAGGGCACAGAGCTTAAATTCTCTTACTGACCTTTGCAGATCCTTTTCCTCCAATTCCACCTCTCGGGAACGCAATATGGCTTCATCTCCCTCTTGTGTTTCACAGCCCATCAGCCCAGCAGATGCTTGTTCCTGTTGTACTGACAGAAATTCCTCCTTCTCTGAGTGAGGATGTCCCAAAGGGCTTGTCTCATCACAGCTTGTCTCACACTGGTCTGGCTCTATGGCAGATTTTTCTGATACCACTTTCCTTTGCTCACGCACTGAGGAAGTGGACTGGGACCCTTGTTCTGCAGGTGCTGTGGGCCCTGAGCCCTCCCCTGGTATATTTACCGTGGTTTCTAGCCCCTTCTCCAAGCCAAGCCTTTCTCTCGCCTCTGAGAGCAGATGTGTTTTATTCTCCCTCTCATCTCCCTCTATATCTCCTAAGTAGATGATCCTCTGTGTAGCAGAAGTCTCAGTCTTGTCATCACTAGACTTCACTTTAATTTTAATGACCTCTGTGGTTGTAGCTGGCACTCTGGCCTCCTGCTTCCTGGGAGCTGCAGAAACACACTCCTCCAAGCCCACCTTGCTTTCTCCCTGGTGAGAGTCTGGATGTGAAATCTTGGGCCTTTGCCCCTCTTGAGGTGTCTGACATGGCCTGGATAGAGCTGGCTCTCTGATAATCACTTCCTCTCTCCTCTCTTTGAGCTTCTCCTCTCCACTCTCAGCTGGCAAGTGCTCTCCTTCCATGCTGGGCTCCTCCCTGGATGCTTTCTCACAGATCTCATCCTCCCAGACAGACTCAAAATCCTCTGGACTAGCAATCATTTTTGCTCTTCGCCGGGTATCCAGGGCTGTATCTGCTGGCTCTTCCAGGCCTGCAGCTTCTTTGGCTTTCCCTACTGCCATCTCCACTTTCGATATGCTCACGCTCATTTTCACCTCTGACGTACCTGCACGTGCTTCTTCTTTCTTGACTCTCAGAGCTTTCTTTAGAGCTACCTCTTCCAGCCTAGAAGTTTCTCTCTCTATAAATACCCAATGCTCCGAGCCCTGCATTGCAATTGGAGCAAGAAGAGTTAGCGTCAAATATACTTTACCTAACAGCTGATGACTACTTTCATAAGTAGCAAAAGGCTAATCTGCCTCAGACAGGGTTGACTAAATTATTATTATTCATGTAAGAGTTGAGGCAGGGTCTATACTAAGAGCCTAGCAACTGGCTGATGGGCAGAAGAGACTGAAAATAATGGGGCTGATGCTGCAAAGGTGACAGAGCCCCCCCAAACTCTGGGATCATCTGTTCTACGTGATAGCTTACTCACATATCTGCAATATTTGCCAGTTTGATGGACATAA